TTCTATGGCAGATTCAAGTGCACTATTTTCATGCGAGCAAAGGTTTCTGCTCAATGAACAACAGGCATTTAATGTGTTGTTTTGGGTCCTGCCTGGACGCTATGCATCTCTGTCCCAACCAGACACACAGCTTCTCCATATGATGATTGGGAGACCGCTCAAAGGGGAGGAACCTCGTAATCAGCCTCCAATCACTGAAACGGTAATGAACATGACTGACACCTCAAACGTAAACTTGCAGTGCTTGGAGCTGCAGTAGTGGTCAGTAACCTAATCCATAACAATTTTACATGACTAGTATAGCTTGTTACATTAGCATTGTAATTGTTAAATATTGTAAATAAATTCTAAGTATTTATAGGTCTAGATAGCTTCCTGTCACTATCATCTTCAGTGAAATTTAGCTAGCTAGTTAGCAGCTTAGCTGGCAAACTACTAATTTTGTTCACCTGATTTTGGAAAAGTCTCTTACTTGTGAGGAGAGACTGAGAATTAAACAAGCTATGACCAACAGGTAAAACAGAACACACAGAGATATATATGTTCTTCAGCAATAAACACTTGTGGTTTCCTTATTTAAAAAAAAAAACACCAGTCACCACTGGGGTAGTCACATTATGTCAGTTTATATGGATGGGATTAGTGATTCACCCTACTGTAACCTGCCACCCCAAAAAAAGTCACTTGGTCTACTAGCCACTCCAGTGTAAAAGTTCTGGCTACGCCTTTGATTGAGATGCTTATAGGTTTCAGAACCTAGTAGAAGATGTCAGAATTTCACTCCATGAAGGGATTTCCCAGGCACAACATAACTGTGACTGATGAATGCTAATAACACCGCTAGCAAGCCATTTTGAAAACACGAGAACAATAAGTCTTTGTGGAGTGATGTCCAGCAGTAATGATGATTTAATGCGACATGGATATCGATGACACCTGACTGAAAAGCACTAACTTGCTCTAGCATAAATGGCTTCCCCTTCCCCCACTACCCGGTGTCTGTCAAAACGCAGCTTCCTCTTTCATTTCCTCCATAAATGGTAGTGTTGTTGATACATCACAGAAACCTCAAACTGCTGTCTTTAAGCTCTGATCCCTCCCTTGAGTGGCAGTGTAAGCGAGCAGCCCTTTATCTACGTGCATGCTCGTTGTTACTGCATGTCCATTGCTGGATGCATTTTGGACACTAAGTCTTTTTGCGACTTACATGGTGAAAGAACTTTATCCTATCAAGCCCTTAGATGTTCACACATGTTCATCGAATATCTTTTTTTTATATATATATATATATAAACTTTGCTTATCAGGCCTTTAAATTTTTTTTTTAAATAATTTTATCTATTTGTGATGCTTGTTATTTTATTTATTAATTTCCTTATTTTCATCATTAGCATTAGTGTTGACTTTGATATTATATATATACTATGTTCTATATTATTATCAATATCATTGTTGTTGTTAAAGTTCTATTTATATTATTTATTATAGATATTATTTATATAATTATTATTGACAACCTATGTTCTCCTTCCCCTTCTTTATGAGCAGTGGTCTCTCTGAGTCCTGCTGTGAGAGGCACAGCTAAATATAACTGCCAATCTGCACTATAGCCACTCAGGCCTTCCTCATGGACAAGAGGGGGCTGGCATGAGGGCAGGGATGCCAGATTGGAGAGTTCCATGCTGTTTTGGACTACCATTAAATTAGATTGTGATGGACCAAAAAGTTGCGGGTTTGAGAGGTAGTCAGAGTATCAATGTGGTTTTGAGAAAGGTCATTGTTAGGGAAGTTTTTACACCAGGCTTTAGCTGGAAACACTAAACCTCAATCTGGCAACCCTGACCTTGGGTGGAGAGTGAGGGGAGAGCTCCAGCTTCAACTTCAGCTAGTTGATAAACTAGAGAGCAGCAAGAGTGTTCAGGGGAGCTCTCCAAACACAGGAGGGGAAACATGGCGGTAAGCACAAGAAGCACAGTTTTATTTGGGGTTTGTTAATTAAATGGATTGGTTTAATTCTCTGATCAAATTGTTTGAGTTGTCTTTATTACAGTCATGGAGACTGAATAAAAGTCAAGTTAAAAGTCAAGTGAGGCAATAAGATGATGAAAGCTGAATTGACAGCGTAACTTTGCATTCAAATATGGCATAGTATTATAACAGGTTCATAACTTTTACTATATTGTTATGAGTAATATGGCAGTGTGTGACTGACTGGAATGTTTAATGCCACCAAATATGAAACAAACACAATGCCATACACATAGATGTGATCATAATAATAGATTATGACAATGGTATTACATTGTGTTTTCAGGTAAAATGGGGTTTTGTGAGCTTGTGAAGCACTAGCAGATGATAATAAAATTATAATAACATTAAAAGTATTCTCCAAGTGAGAAGTGGTGAAAAAATGACAGATCATTCATTTCAATTCCTTTTCTCTTACATATATTATATACTCTTTTTTTTTTCATAAAGTTTCGAATAAGCTGTTGTTTTATTTCTTACTCCAGTCCATATTGAAACGAGTGATGTTTCTCTGTCTTGCTATATTTGCATGTTTCTGTGTTGTGCTGGAGGACCAACAACATCTCACTCTTCGGTTAACTTAAAGCATGGCTGGAATCGCAGTGAGCTAACTGACACAGGAAGTGGTGTAACCTCATCCGTAGAACAAGTCAAAATGGCAAGTTTAAGTGACACGCTGGTGTAAGCGTGTATGTGCGAGAATGGACAATAATACAGATATGATAATATTATGTAGGATGGTATGTGCGAGGCTGCTGAAGTGGAAGAGTAAAAAAAGGAAATGGCAGTCACTTTAAATAGCCTGTGGCTATTTTGAGATTTATGCCTGCAGAGATGTCACTGGTAAACAGGCTTTTGCTTGACCTTAATAGATATTCATGCTGATTTCAGGGAACCTAGAGAGGTTAACTGCTCCGTAATACACATTTTATTTGCATTTATGGTGTGTAAAGGCCCAAATTGTAATCATTTATTTCATTTTGAGGAGGTTATTATATAATATAATTAGTTGGATACTGAGGCCTGAAGTTTTTAATTTAAAATTTCTCTATTTAAACTATAAATAATGCATTTCAGGTTCTTCTTAACTTTACTGGAGTGTGTGGTGTTATTTTATGTGTGTGTTGTTACCAAAATCTATAATATAATATCGATACTAAATGAGGAATAAAACATGATAACAAATAAGGAATAAAACATGACTGGACATGCTGTTACAGGAAAATAAACAATAGGATGGTGTGATGAAGGGGAATTACTGCTACCAGCCCAAACCTGATTATTTTCCTATAACAGCATGTTCCAAAATGTTATGTTCCTGTTATACCAAACTAAAGATTTTTATTTACTAAAGAATCACACACCATTTTTTAAAAATCTCTTTATAGTTGTGGAACCTCCACAAAGCAAGTTAGTTTCTGTTATCATTTTCATTTGAACAGCTTTAAACAGCAGCTTCCTCACTGGCCTCACTGTTTTTCTTTCTCTTGAAGTTAATAAGAAAAAAAAAATCTTGTCATGTTACTGAGAAACTGCAAAGCTCTCCCTCCTGAAGACATTCAAGCAGTGGAAGCTTAACATTACAGCTTTGAAAGAAGCCTTTATTTGTCATATATACTTTATATACACCACAAATTCTTTCTTCACACATCCCAGCTAATGTATTAAAAAAAAAAAAAAGCTAATATTATAACCTGGTGTAATAACCTGCTAGTAATGTAATGCTAATTAGGCCTTTATGCTGTTCAGTTTCTCAGATTTTCATCTAAATCAAATGCATTGTTTCAAAATGAAGGCAGCCGTGTCCTGTGTGTAAATTAGTGTTTACCAGTTTGTTCTTCTGACATAGGGCTGTGGCTTTAAGAGCTCTGATGAAGAGTTGATGCTGTAAGATATTGCGATCTGCTTCGTTTTTTTGCCATCTGTGAACAGCACAATGGAGAAAAATACAAACACTGCACTCAGAGATTGTGTGTATTGTATGTACAGCATATTTAATATTCATAATAATGTAAGTAAGTAAGTAAGTAAGTAAGATTTCTTTATACAGCGCTATTCTAGACAGTAGTCACATAAAAAACTATAAAGCGGTATGAACATAAACAAGAATAACAGCACATTACAACATAAACAAGAATAACAGCACATTACAACATAACACACAGCCCTAAAATAAAATATAGCATAACCAAAAAAAAAAAAAAGCACATCACCCAGTATAAGCTAGGTGAATTCCAGCTTCTTAAAACCTGACTCAGAGTCAGAGTTTCTTAAAACCTGACTTTAAACGATTAAAATAGAAAAGGCAACAGAAATAAATGACAGTACATAAACAGTATACAGTAATTCCTGAGCCATTGTTACCTTCAGGTTACAAATTAGAAGTTGCTTCATGTGAACTGCTTAATTGACTTGAACGTGTCATGTGTGAGTAATATGACTGTGAGCTTCAGTGCAGCGACTTCATTACTATCATCGCTGGCTGTTTAATGCTCACAAGAGAATTGCTGCTAGCAATTACAAACATAAAAAAACAGCAGGTGTTCAATTTTAACTGCTCTATACATTTAAGCCTCATGATTACGGTTCATCAGCCAATACATGTTTGATGTCTGAAGTTTGCTTCTTTAGTTTTGCCCTTGAATGTTGCTAACAATTAAGGGAAGCTTATAGCTACCAGTTTAGCATCATGCAAACAGCAGGTTTAAATCATCACACGCTCTACCCAGAGGAATAACATGATTTGTGCATAGATCATTTTAAAAAAATAATTCTGTGTTAATTAAATGTAAAATTACTCACACTGGATTTGTGGAGGGAAAACCAGGTGTTTATGTGCAGTCCTGTTGTGACATGTTTCTGAAGTGAAAGTACTGATTCAGTGAACCATACATTCATGGAGCAGCTTACATTTGTCTCATTTATGCAACTAAGGGTTAAGGGCCTTGCTCAAGGGCCTAGCAGTAGCAGCTTGGCAGTGCTGGGATTTGAACTCACAACCTTCCCATCACTAGTTCAACAGCTTCCCCACTGACCTACAACTACCCAGTTAGCTAGTTTGTTGTTTGTGACGTTAAGACACATTACGTTGACTGATCTTTGCAGAATGCTAAGTGCCGCTAGCTTGTTAGTTTATCAGATAAAATATTATTAGCAGGTCATTTAGCTAGTTTGTGATATAGCTTGTGAGCTCTACGCTAAGCAGTTGCTAAAATGACATATGTATGTTGTATAAAACAGTGTCCTGAAATGCTAATAATAAACAGTGCCTTCACACTGAGACTTCCAGAAAGACCTAACCTCAGCTCTGTGCTCTTGTTTTCAGCATTTTAGCTGGATGGTATTCTTAAAGCCCTGACCCAGTGAACTAGCATGAGGATGTGTTTTCGATAGAGACTATAAAACACTTCTTTAAGCCGCTCTGGATAAGGGAGTCTGCTAAATGCTGTAAATGTTTTCTCTTGGCCCATTCTTCCAAGATTCACAGAGTTAAAGTTTATCTAGAGCTCAACCCTGGTCCTTGAAGTACCACAGCCCTGCACATTTTGGTGTTTTCCCTGCTCCCATGTCACGTGATTCAACACATCATCTAATTAACAAGCCTTAAAAAGGTGGAATAATTGAGTTAGCGGAGGGAAAACACCAAAAACACAAGCTTGCATAATTAACTGCTACTTGAAGCAAATCCCTTTTTCACATATCACATCCTCTTCCATTCACATGAAAGAGCTCAAGTTGAGCTGTTGTCATCCAAATCACTTTTAATGTTGAGTTCCTGCTTCAGACTTTAGGCAACGTCTCCTACCTAATGCTAGCACTGACTGAGTGACAACAAACTATGCTATCTAATGCTAGCACTGACTGAGTGACAACAAACTATGCTATCTAATGCTAGCACTGACTGAGTGACAACAAACTATGCTATCTAATGCTAGCACTGACTGAGTGACAACAAACTATGTGCTGAAGAAGAAAGTAATTTCTCTTCAAGATGGAGCTACGACTGTTTTCAGCTCTGTGATTGTCCACTTTTATAGAAAACAATGTGTCATACAGTGTCATACAATCATACTGTCACCTCAAAAGATGCAGTTGCTATTCAGGCAAGAATATTATTAAAGCTTAGTCTGTAATTCAAAATAGACAAATCAAACTGTAGCTTTATCATCATTCAAATCTCTTCTAACGTTCCAACTTCAAACTAAGGGCCACACCTCCTGCTTACATCTGATGTTAATACGAAGTGACTTCAAGCTAGATGCTAAAAAAGAATGTGATTTAAAAGTGTCATAGAGTGTCAGTAACCACATAAGTGAAGCTGGATGAGGTTACATAACAACTTGTTGTGATTTGAGGTGTGAGACGATTTAGCATGACGCTAAACTGGAGGCTGTAAGTTTTCCTAGTTAAGTTGAGTTACTTGAGTTTTACTTGTTAAGTTTTACTTGGTAGCAACATTAGTCTTGTAGCCCTAGCGCAAAACTAAAGAAGCAAACTTTGGACACCAAACACATAGACTAAGTGTAGCCAGAAATGGGTATCATTCTTTCCAACCCTTGGTAAATTTTCTGTGGTTAAGAGAAATAAACCACTCCAGGATGTGCTGTTATAGGAAAATAATCAACGTCAGGGTAGTAAACTTTGCAGTGTAAGATTCAAGCATCTTCAACATCCTGTAGAGGAAATCCTGCAGTCAACCGCTTACTATGTGATGTTATTACTAATCCCAGCGTGAACTGAGCTCTGAGCTGACAACGGTTATGATGTTAAAGGGCTGGTGTGTGGCGAGGGGGCTGTGTGTGTGTGTGTGTGTGTGTGTGTGTAGCCTTCCAGGCTATTTGAGTTCATTACATCCTGAATGTCAGCTATGTGAAAACTCTGGCAGGACCGAGTTATTGTCAGTCCCACTTCAGCAGCTGTCCCCACACACACACACACACACACACACACACACACACACACACACGCACAGATGAAACAGAGGACAGGAAGGGACATGATCATGACTGACTTCTCTTTATAAGAGAAAAGAAGAATTCAGAAAGTGGTTGCAACAAAGCTTCAGTCGAAACAGAAGTCAGGCTCCACTTTCACAAGCTCTTATCCGTTCTATGAGTGCTGGTGAAATATTTGTGTATGCTAAGGATCTGCTTAAGTGTTGTAATTAATGATGAAATCATATATTTTTTCTTACATCAATTTTCTTCATTTCTGTTCCTCAAAATGGCATTTTGATTCACTCCCACAGGGAAGACACTGCCTTAAAATGGTGTTTCAGCTGGTCAGAGATACTTTTTTTCTATTTGTAGCTTTGGAGGGGATTTCCATGAATATCACTTGGCTAAAATTGTTGTATGTTTAATCAGATTTGTAGATTGTACAGTATTTTCCTCCAAGAGAATAAAATAGGTAACTGTAATACCAGTAGCATGCATGTATTGTTTAGGGTGGCATTTGATAACTAATTGCATTAGAGCTCCAGTTCATTAGTTTGAGCTTTGGCCTCAGCATATTCATGGAAAGCTTTTTTTAGGCCCTGCAGACTGGGTGCTAGTGTGAATATGGTGGACTGATTGCACATACCGGCCCAGCCCTTTTGGGATGTTGCTTCAAATTGAGCAACACAGCTGCTTTAGGAAGTTACACAATTCTTGTTAAATAACTATTTTGAATGCTGTTGAAGCATAGCCTGTCAGTTGTTTCACTGTTGCTTTCACCAGGGTTACCAGGTCGGGAAAAAAAAAGAAAAAAAAAAAACAGTACAGTGATCTTTAAAACCAGTTCAAATCCAAAACATAAAATCTCGAAAAAAGTGTCATCTCGAAGTGTTTTCTTCCTGTTACACCACAGCATTTTGCCAACAATTACAATTTTTATTAAATATTTTATTAAAAATTACAAATTTTATTAAATAGAACAACACATTGTAACTTTTATCCATTTATAGTTACATTTAATGTTGTGGAACATCCACAAAACAAGATCCTGTTATCATCTTATAACAGCTATATTTACAGTCATTTCCTCACCAGCCTCTTTTTCTCTTTTTCTTAATTAGAAAAAAAATGCAGCTTGTCATGTTACTTAGAATCCGCAAAGTGCCATCCTAAAGACTTTCCTGTGTTAGAAAGCTTAAAGTTACAGCTTTACCTCTGACTGTCTCTCCGCGCTGACACTGTGGACTCCTTCCACAAATGCAAATGCTTTTTGTGGAGCAGCCACTGTCAAGTCAAGTAGAGACGATAATGTATTACAACGAGCACATTCATATAAACCTTGCAGCCAGAACTAATGCCCAATCAGAATCAAGAATTCAAACACACTGTGGTATTTTTTTTTTTATAGAAATCTGATATACACTTGGATTTAACTGCAACAGCTGAGCTTATTCAGTACATGTATACTAAAAAACACATTTATTCAAAAATATGCAATTTGCAATCATAATCACCCCCACCCAAATATATATATATAGATAGATAGATAGATAGATAGATAGTAACTACTAGTGAATTTTTGAATAGCTTCTTCTTGAGTAGGTTTATTCAACCACAAAGATGCACATGTCATGTATTTTGAAAGAAATCCAGAAAATCAGATTCTTTCAAAGAAATCAGATTCTTTAATTGTGTGTTAAGTGATTACTGTATGTTGTATATGTTAATGTTGAGTCATTACAATCTCTTTAGGCACGTGGTGATAGGGTGACAGTGAGAGCAGGGTGAAATACAGGCATGAGGCATTTGTACCTCTTCACTCACTGACTCACATTGCATACTATTGGGAAGGTCCTATTTTTCCTACCCAACAGCCACCTATAACAACCTGAGCCAAAGCATGAGGTCACACCTAGAAAAAAGAATCTCAGAGGAGGTTCTAGCAATGAGCCAAGAGCCAGACAATACTGGTCCTTAAAGCAAGGAAATCAAACTTCCATCTGCACAGTGCATGTCCTAAAATAACTTTAAATAATATCTTTAATCATGTGCTCTGGTCTGCTTCACGGAAGATCTGGCTGGACAGCAACAGGGGTGAATACTTATGTAATAACAACTTTTAAATTTTTTTAATTGTAAATAATTTTGCAAATATCTTCCCCCCAATTCAATATTATGGATTATATTGTGTAGATTCATGACAAGTCCATTTCAATTCAAGGTTGAAACATTGCAGAATGTTGGATAAGGGGAGCAAATACTTATCCAAGGCACGGTATTTCATAGTTCTTTTGCACTGACAGATGCTGTTGCTGGTTCATAAGCCTAATGTTGAACAAATCTGCCTGTTTCCACTATGAAGGAACCAGTTCTCATCTGGAAAAATGGGTTTGGTTCCAGCACACAAAAGCTGCTGACCTGAAACCAAGAACCAGTGACATTAGGGGACGACTGGTCTTACAAACCGGACTTTCAGTTTTCACTGTAGAGTCCAGTACGTTTTTATCTGCCTACTTTTCTGACAGATGCTACAAATGACCAACCACATATCACATTTGCTCGCCAATAACTGCTTCAAACAAAACTCTGGAATGAAGTTGTAATTCTGTGAACCAATTTAGTCTAATGATTATATTTTGCTCCAAGAAGCTCACTGTGTCACAGTGTTCAAGTGTTTATTTTCCCAACAGAAACTGATTCGTGAACGTTCGTTCACACTGTGATGGAAACAGCCAAACAGATTCTTCAAGAATCAGAATTTTACAATCAACATGTGACAGTCTGGGAAAACCCATCAGATGTCACTGTAGCTTAATTCGGGCAGTTTTGGGCAGTTTTGGTTTTGGATGTAAAATATTTTTTTTACCAAAACATCATGGACATTCCTGCAAAGATCATGTTCATGGACCCAGTGTATTAAACACTGTGGTAAGATTAGTCAGTCTGCATGAAGATGTCTAAAACCTTGCTAGCTAAGTGTGATTTCCTCACACAGTGAATATCAAGCTGATCAAGTTGCTGGAGAGTTACATGCCCTAATGAACTGCACATAGGTCTAATAAATTCAGTTTGTAATCAGATACTAGCTGTCAGAATGTCTGAAATACTC